GAAGGTGCCCCATGGGTAAGGTGGCTGGAGGGGACATGAGCCCCAGGAAGGGGTGTCGTGGGGCGAGGCCAGAGGGCCCCTCCCCTCCGTGAGCCATGTGGGAGCTGCTTCCCACTGGAGCCCACCATACTCAGCAGGAGCCCTGGGTGGCCTCTCTGTGGCTGCTGTGGCAGGCCCAGGCTCCTGCAGTCACCGTCACAGGCAGGGGCTCTGTGTGGCCATGGCGGGGCCCTGGACACGGCTGAGAGGAACCACAGCTGCCTTCGGGGAACAGCCCCCTCTGCCACCTCGGGGTGCTGAGCCTGGAGGTCATGGTAGCCCCTGGAGGGCCGAAAACCAGCCCCGGGAGCAGCCCCTCCACCCAGACCCCCTGTCCTCAAGCCCCACTGACCCTGTTCTGTGGGAGGCGCAGGCACAGGCTGTTCCCAGGCCCAGCAGGCCCAGGTGGTGAGCTGAGAGCAGCTCCACTCCGGCCAGGATAAAGAGATTCGATCGGCCACCCGCAGGGTCCTGGGCTGAGGTGTGGGGCGTGGGCACAGGGTCCAGCAGGACACCCCACCCCACTGGGCCAGCCTGGGTGGACTCCAGCAAGCAGACAGGTGGGCAGGTGGGCACTGTCTCTGGTCTGTGTCTGGCCCCAGGCCTGTGGGCTGGGCACATGTGGGCAGACATCCCTGGACCACCTGCCTGCTCCCAGCCCTGTCCCCTAGTGCAGGCAAGACATGGGAAGGGGCCTTCGGCCGGGAGGTGCTGGTGCCCCTGGGGGACCTGAGAGGGAGGAGGTTCACACCAGGGTTACCATCAGGGCCAGAGACTTGTGTCACCCCAGGAGAGATGGGACGAGAGGGGCTGTGGGAGCCAGAGTCCAAGGCAGAGAGTGCTGTATGGAGGGGCCCCCTGACCGCTGACGTGAGACACAGCCTCCACCCAGGACTGAGGACTTCTGGGAGAGACACTATCCTGCAGCCCAGGTGGGAGCCAGGTGGGCCAGTGGGACTGCACAGCTGCTCCTGCCGGGGCCAGTGAAGCAGAAGAGGGTGGCGGAGGTCCTGGATCCAACCAGGCCTGAAGCCTGCCCTCCCCGGAGGAGCCGGGAAGGAACACAGGCCTAGGCAGCATCTTTTCTCCCCAGGAGGTGACGTGGAGGGAGGGGGAGTGTGCTGGGCTGTGCACAGAGAG